GTCCCCGCAGTTTGCCGATGGACACCCCCAGCGCGGGTCCCTGCGGAGGGAGGAGCAGGAGGAGCAGGAACCCCACGCCTCTGCTTCAGTTCCTTTGGGGAGGAGCGCAGACCCACACTCGCTGTCGGCCCTTTCTCTGGGGAGCAGCTTTCCTGACTGACAATGAAGCATAAAATAATAGCAGCAAGAATAACTGCATCTGAATTTACTCCTGAGCGCTTTCTCGGTGCCAGGTTGCTCTAACGGTCCTTCCCCCAACTCTCCCCTCCTTCGAGAAAGGTGAGAGTTTCCTTCTAGAAATAAGGACCCAGCAGCTGAGCCCCACTCCTCCTGGTGATGGGTATCGCTCAGCGAAGCCACCCCCAGAAGCCAGAGAAGACACTGCTCCCCCATTTCACCGGCAGATGTTTATTGAGCACTTGCTGGATGTTGGACAATGACACAGACACTAGGGACACAGCTGTGATTGGGGGGTGCAGGGCCCACTGTGATGCATCCCACAGAGGCGGTGCCAACTGGGGGATACAGGTGAGTAAGAATTGTAACAGGAGCATGTGATTGGAGGAGAGCAGGGAGAGTGCAGTCAGGTGTGCTACCCACAGAGAGAGAAACCAAGGCAACCCCAGGCCTGGCAGCTTCTAAGATCTCAGGGTCCCTCCCCTTGTGACCTGCCAGCCCTAACCCCCCCTGCTTCCTCATTCTCTGCCCTCCCTCTCAGCCTCAATTTCCCCTTCTGGCAGCCAAGGCCGACCAGTTCCAAGTCCAGCCTCGGTTTGTAAGGAGCCAGCAAGATAATGGGGCCAGATGGAGGTCCCGCCCCTCCAACACATCCCCTGGGCCTTGGAGTGAGGTGGGGTTGAGAGTCCCACGGTCCGAGTGGGGAAAGCGAGGCTCAGAGGGGGCCTTGACTCCAGGAGGCCTGTCTCAGATTTGCTCACCCAGCAAGCACTGAGCCCCGCTTTGCACTGGGGCAACACCAGCATGCCAGGAGAGGCAGATACCACCACTGCCTGGGCCAGCCTCGTGTTGCAGCCTGACAGAGCCCACTGAACCCCGACTTCACTGTCATGAAGAGTGCCCTACGGCAATTACTTGTGTGGTTCTGCTGCCCCGCTGGGCTTGGAGCTGTGGCTGGAAGGGTTGTTTTGGTCTTAGCCCTGCTGTGTCTCCAAGACACTGAGGTCTTTAACGAGCACTTGCCAGACAAATGGGCAGACGGCAGGAAGGATGACTCCTGGGAACAGTGCTCCTGTCTGCAGTGGGGGCCTCGGCGACCTTCCTCCATGGACAGGACAGGGACAGGGGGGCCCGGGCAGGGGAAGTGACCAGCTAGAGGTCTGCAAGGAAGGGCAGTGCCAGGCTGACCTGGGAAATGGGGGCTTCCATCCCCACTGGGGCAGGGTCTCTCTCTCCCCAGTTGAGTTGGAAGAGGATGCAGGGAATTTATTCTGTGCTGATTCCTGTGCTAAGCAACCCAGACATTCATCTGGAGCCACTTAATCAGGGTTTGAATCCTAGGACCGATATTTCCTGCTTTGTGACTTCTGGCAAGTGGCCAAACCTCTCTGCCGCCTCAGTGCTTCACGGGCATCTCAGCATCAGAGTCGCTGTGTGCAAAGTACTGAAACACGCCTAAACATGTAAGTGCTGGTCATCGGTTCACGGCAGCGGCTCCTGGTGAGGAAAGAGACTCAGCCAGGGGGAGATCTTGCCAGGCCTCAAAGTGAACCCCAGAACCTTGACCACAGCCTTGCTCAGCCAAAAGCCCCACCCCAACACATTTGGGGGGCTGGGGAAACTGAGGCCCAGAGGGGGAAAGTACCTGGGGATGGATTCCAAACACCTGTCCTGTGGGGGACCAGGGCAGGGAGGCCACCGGCTCTGACCCCAAACACAAACCTCTCCACGTCAACAAAACCTGCTGCTGCCTCCGCAGAGCCCTGGGACTGACAGGTGCGGCCGCCCCCCACCCCTCCGCCAGGACTCCCCCAAACCCTGAGCTGTTGCCTCCCTGGAATCAGAGTTGAGGAGGCTGCCGGTTCCAGGCCTAAGCTAGGGAGGGGGCCCAGAAGGCACCCACCATCCCCACCCACCCTGAGCTGTGCCCCTCATGCTGCGGCCTCGGCCTTCACCCCCTCCCGCCTCAGTCCTCCCCCTCTCCTCCACTCCCAGGAGCGTACTATATGGAGGGGGAAGGTGGCCGGTCTCAGAGGAGAAGCAAGAAGGTGGTACTTCCCAGGATCCAGGCCTGAGTCATAGGATGCCCCCTGTGGCCTCCAGCAGACAGGCTTGGAGGACACACAGGGAGGCAGGCGGCTCAGACAAAGCCTGCCTCCCCGCTCTAGGCCTGAGGAGCCGCCTCGTGCCCATGCAGCTCCGGGCTCCGAGCTGCCTTTTCCTTTGAAAAAGGGGACGAAAGGCCTGTCTGCACGCTCCCATGTTTAGGGGCAAGAGGAGCAGCTTGAGGAAAACAAGGAGCTTTTTGTCAGACATACTGGGATATCTCAAGAGAGAGGTTTGTAGCATTGGGGAGATAAAATAGGTGTTTCCAAAGAGAAATTAGGGTGCATTTAATAGAGAAGGTGGGGTATTCTTCTCTCTAAAAATAGAGGCATTTGAGAAATGTTGGGGATTCTAGGAGAGCAGACTACCCTCTTCCTCCCCCTCACAGGCCCTCAGCCCCCCAACTCCTCCAGCCCCCAGGAGGCCAAATCTGAGGCCACTGGCTTTCCCCTGGGGAGGCTGACTGCAGCCCCCCACCAAGAGGGCCCCTTAGTGTGCAGTGGGTTCACGCTCCTCGTGGTCATTCCCAAGTTTAATTATAAACAGATTCGAAATGTCCAGTGCAGGTCCATGCCCCCAAGACTGCCCCCCACTTCCACATCAGCGTGTGTCCCGGCCTGAGGACCCAAAGCACCTCGATTCTCCCTCAAAAACTGCGCGCCCATTTTTCAGGTGAAAACGCTGAGTTGGGCCAGAGCAGGACTCCAGCTCCATGGAGGGGGCCTGGGAACCTTCCCCTCCCAGGGACATGAGCTGAAGTCCAGCCAGGAAAAGAGATTGTGTCTCCCTACCCAGCCAGGACCTCACCAGGACACTGAGGGGTGTATTTTTTTTTCATATATTTTCGTTAAAGGCGAGAAACGGTTCTGTCTTTGGTATGTACACCCTCACTCCAGGCAGAAGAGAAGAGGCAGGGGGCTCGGTGAGAGAGAGGGGGGTCTTGGGCCCCCCCCTCTCGTGGCATGGTTGACCTGGCCCAGCGAAGCGTGGGCTGGAGGAGAGAGATTCAAGGCCCGCGTGGAGGAAGGAGAGACCGCAGAGGTTCAGCCTGACCAGGGTCCAGAGAAAGGCTGTAAGGCCACAACAGGGACATCTGGGGAGCAGGGACAGGAGCCCGGGGTGGGAGCCATCGCCTGGAGGAGAAAGCGGAGAAGTCGAGGGTCAGCGGAGACAGCAGCCAGAGACCCGGGTTCGCGTGTCAGGTGCTCCAAACCTCGGTGACACTGCAGTGAAGTAACCCAGCCAGGAGTCTCAGGCCCAGGGGCCCGGGTTCCAGTCCCAGCGCCTCCATTTTCTCGCAGGGTGCCCTAGGGGAGTGTCTTAATCTCCGTGCTGTTTCTTCTGCAAAATGAGAACGCTGATAGCAGTGCCTGCCTCAGAACCTCGAGGGGGATGTGGGGACGTGCGCACAGTCCTTAGACACGGCGATGGCTGCATTAGCAACTATTGTAATTGCCGCTGGCATAATTTCTCAGGCCACAAACAACTCCGGGGACAGAAGGCAATCAGGTCGTACCCTGGCATATGCCCCAGAGCACTGCAGATCACTTGAGATGTCTTACAGGCCCACCCCCAACCCCTGAAGCTCTTCCCCAGGCTAGGAACCCCGTCTCTGCCAGCAGCCAGGCTGTCTGGGGGCAGGGAGGAGACCGGCAATGGTGGGATGGAGGCAGGAAGGAGACCTTTGTCATGGGGAGAAAAGAGCAGCCCCACCTGGCCCAGAAGCTCCTCTGGCTCAGCCCTTGGGGAAATTCAGCAGATGCCTTCCCCTTCGGTCCCTCCCTTCTTCCCTGAGCCAAGCTCCAGCTCCCAGATCCTGCAATCCCCAGGCCCTGTCTCTCCCTCCTCCACAAAGGCAGCTCAGGTCACTCTACCCCTCATACCCCGGCTCAGCCATGTCCTCTCCTGCCTGGCCCACCCCTGAACTCCCCCCCAGAGCCCTCCTCTCTCACCAGAGAGGTCCTGTATCTGCCTGGCCCTCCCCCACTCAAACCCTTCCTGTGGCTCCCCCACAACCAAAATCGAACGGCCCAGGATGACCTTCTCATCTCACCACCCCCTGACACTCCAGCCTGCAGGACCCAGCCCACACTGGTTCCCTCTTCCAGGGTAGCCAAATGCTGCCTCCTCCCAGAGATTTTTATCACCAGTTACACAGTCACCATAACCACTCAGCCCTCCCACTCCTGGGTATATAGACCCACCCAAGGGCAATGAAGACACAGCCACACAAAAACCCGTACACGCATGTTCACCGTGGCCGATGACAAATGGATCCATGCAAGGTGGCCCATCCACACACTGAAATGTCAGTCACGGACAGGAGGAAAGTACCGACACTCCCTACAACGTGGATGAGCCTTGAAGACATGACGCTCCGTGAGAGAAGCCAGACACACACAGCCACACAGGGTGAGTCCATTTATGTGACATGTCCAGAGCAGGCACAGCCACAGAGACAGGAAGTGGGTTAGTATTTGTCAGGGGCTAGGGGAGGTGCTGGGGAATGACTACTAAGGGGGGCAGGGCTTCTCTTGGGGGTGATAGAACGTTCTGGAATTAGACAGGGGAATGTTGCACCACTCTGTGAAAATACTAAAAACTGCCGAGGTGGATGAACTGTGTGGCGTGTGGATCCTTTCTCAGTTTTTAAGGTGAAGGGAAGTGTGGTGAGTGGGTGCCGGCCAGAAGCCAGCAGGGCCACATACACACCTGGCTCAGGGCTCCCGCTTGACCACACCTCGCAGGTGCAACTCGCTCTCAGCCGCCACGATGGGCTGCCCATTCTGCAGGTGATAGTCGATCAGGTGGCTGATGCTCTCAAACAGCACGTCCTTCGTCCGAACCTATGGAGACAGAGGTCTCAGCATCAGCACCGCCAGAGAGCCAGCTGGGGGAGGCCCGACCTGCTGCACTGGAACCCGCATTTTCCAAGCCTCCCCGTGGCTCTGATGCACACTCAAGTGTGAGAATCACTCGATCCAAGGCTTATGGAGTTGGCCTCAGAATTCCAGAACTAGGTCTGGTTCTGGAGCCACACTTCCTAGCGGGTTGCCTAGTGGCCCCAGAATGTCCCTGCCCTAACCCCTGGAACCTATGAGTGAGAATGCATTTGGAAAAGGCATCTTTGCAAATGTGATTAAGTGAAGGGTCTTGAGATGAACTCATCTTGGGTTACCTAGGAGTCCCCAAATCCAGTGACTTGTGTCCTTAAAAGAAGATCATAGCCTTATTGGCATGCTTAGTGGTTAGAGCATCGGCCTGTGCACTGAAGGGTCTCAGGTTCGATTCCCAGTCAAGGGCACGTACCTGGGTTGCAGGTTCAATCCCCAGCCCCTGCTGGGGTGCATGCGGGTGGCAACTAATTAATGTGTCTCTCTCACAACAGCGTTTCTCTCTCTCTCTCTCACTCTCTCTCTCTCTTTAAAAATCATTGGAAAAGGTATCCTAGGGTGAGGATTAACAAAACAGAGAGAGAGAGAGAACAACTTGGACACAGAAACACAAGAAAAACGTGTGAGAAGATGGGGGGCAGCGATCGCAGTGATGTGTCAACAGGCTAGGGACTAGCCAGGACAGCTGGCGACCATGAGAAGCTGGGAGAGATCCTCTCTCATGAGCCTCAAAAGGAACCAGTCCTGCCAACACCTTGATCTCAGACTTCTGTCTCCAGAGCTGAGACAGAATAAATCCCTGTCGTTTTAATACACCCAGTCTGTGGTCATTTGTAGGGCAGCCCTCAGAATGAATGCATCCCTGGAATCTCAGAGACACAGATCTGAAAATCAGAATCACCAAATCCAAAAGCCATCTGTGTCTTAGAAAGAAAAATCTTAGCATCGCTGCATGCTAGACCTGGACACAGCACAGAGACCCTGCCTGCCAGACCTTGCATGGGTAATGCTGGGCTCACTGAGCACATCACCTGGACCAGTGGTCACCAACCGGTGGTTGGCGGACCGCTGGTGGTGCATGAGGTCTGAAAGGTTTGCGACGGCTGACTTGGTTCTCAGGCTTAAATGCACATTTCCGGCCACACAACCACCTTCCACCTGAGTATGCCCTTTACAAACAGACAAGGAGTGTATGCAGACCGAGGGCAGTCCTGAGGATTCTTCTGGACGGGTAAGAGCAGATGGTAAACTTTAAGGCTTTTAACGCCTCCAAGCACCTTCCAACCTGAGAAGTAACCTATAAAGACCATGGACTCTGGATGCTGGAAAATATTTCACAAACCCCAGAACTGCTTGTAAATTGGAGCACTTTTTTTTAAAAAAAAAAATATGTTTTTATTGATTTTAGAGAGGAAGAGGGAGAGAGAGAAACATCAATCCATTGCCTTCTGCACACACCCCAACCTGGGATTGCACCTGAAACCCAGGTTGCCCTTGACCAGGAATCTAACCGGTGACCCTTTGGTGCATGGGATGATGCTCAAACCAACTGAGCCACACTGGAACATGTTTTGTAACAACTAAAATGCTTTAGGAACTGTAAAAGGCCAACTCTCATTGACTAATGCTGCTGTTAGCTGCATCACCATTTCATGAGCCATGGTGGTGGAAGGAGAACATGAATAATCAAATAATAATGCTGTTCAGCTGAAACCGGTTTGGCTCAGTGGATAGAGCGTCAGCCTGCAGACTGAAAGGTCCCAGGTTCGATTCTGGTCAAGGGCATGTACCTTGGTTGTGGACACATCCCTGGTGGGAGGTGTGCAGGAGGCAGCTGATCGATGTTTTTAACTCTCTATTCCTCTCCCTTCCTCTCTGTAAAAAATCAATAAAATATATACTTTTAAAAATAATGCTGTTCAAAGATGCAACTGATGGGTAAAAAAAAAAATAATTCAGGCCCTAACCAGTGTGGCTCAGTTGACTGAAAGGTCCCAGGTTCAATTCCCAGTCAGGGCACATGCCAGCCTGGGGACTCCATCCCAGTCAGGGTTGCATGCAGAAGTTTCTCTCTCTCCCTTTCTCTCTCTTAAAAAAAAAAATCAATAAAAGTATTTTTTAAAACACAAATTTATTACAAAAAAGGGGACATTTAAAAAAAATAATTCAAACCTCAAAAAAAAAAATTCAAACCTCAGAAACATCAAAATGAGAGGAAAGAAAAGTGTGCATTCAGAGGGTTGAAGCATTCAGTAACTTCAAACCTTAAGACCCTTGTAAACTGAAACCTGCTTTGGAACCCTAAAATACACTAGGAACTGAATATGTCATATTTATCAAAGACATCACTATTTGTAAGATGCATTAGTGATAATAGAATATGAAAAAAAAAAAAAAGAAAAAAAAAGTGCAGCCGAAACTGGTTTGGCTCAGTGGATAGACTGTTGGTCTGCAAACTGAAAGGTCCCAGGTTCAATTCCGGTCAAGGCTTGTACATTGGCTGCGAGCACATCCCTGGTAGGAGGTGTGTGGGAGGCAGTTGATGGATGTTTCTCTCTCATCGATGTTTCTAACTCTCTATCCTTCTCCCTTCCTCTCTGTAAGTGAACAGAATTTTTTTTAAAGTGCATCTTACAATTGTTGGAATATATTTTGTAAACCCTGAAAGGCCTTGAAATTGGAAAAGATTTTGTAACCCCATAATGCCTTACAGACCAAGAAATACTCTGAAAATCCAAACATTCTTAAACTGGAAAATAGTTTGTAATTCTAAAGTACCTGGTAAACAGAACAGAATCTGTAAACATAAAGGGCTTTGTAATCCGAAAAAATACTTGGTTAAACCTAACGGGTGCTAAGAAGATGGGCGCCCTCTCCCCCCTCTCCCCCCGCCACGTCTTCACCCCACACTCCCCCCCCCCCACACACACACACACACACCACCCTCCCGGGGCTGGCCCTGCATCCCAGCCAGAAGCCCAGCTCCCAGACGCCTCCCGGCCACGCCCCACTCGCCCCGGAGCGTCCCAAACCCGGCTCAGCCGCCCGCCCTGGCCTCCCCACCCCTCAGCCCACGCTCCGCCCCGCGCCCCTTACCACGCCCTCGGGGTCCACCAGGAGCAGGTGCTTGGGCTGCCCGGCGTGCATGCCGGTGAGCACGTACTGCCCGGGGTTGGTGACGCTGTCCCGCACCAGGAAGTCGCCGTCGGCTCGCAGCAGTTTCTCCGCCGCCCGACGGCTCATCTGGCCGTGGTACCAGGGCTCCTGCCGCAGCTGCTCCTCCGTGGGGGCGATGGGGGCCCTGCGGGTCGGGGGGCTGGGCCACTGGTCCTCCACGGGAAGGGCGGCTGCCGCGCCCGCGGCCACGGAGCACTCGTGCAGCTTCAGCGCGTCCTCGAAGGGTCCTGCGGACAAGGACGGGCGCGGGAGGCAGGGGGTGGGCAGTTGCCTCCTGCGGGGAAGGCAGGGCGCCGGACAGGAGGAAGGACCCACCCTCGGGTCCCAGGTGACATGGATGGAGCACCTACTGTGCATCAGACCTGCACTAAGCCCACCACAGGGGGCCAGTGGCTGTGCACTGTGTGCGGGCCAAGCGTGTGCTGGTCTGTGTGCTGTGCACTCAGTGTGCGCTGTGTGTGTTGTGTGCTCTGTGTGTGTGTGCAGAGTGTATGCTGTGCTGAGTGTGTTCTGTATGCCTTATGCTGTGCACTCAGAGTGCACTGTGTGTGTTGTGTGCTCTGTGTGTGTGTGTGCAGTGAGTGCTGTGCTGAATGTGTGCTGTATGCTATGTGCTGTGCACTCAGTGTGCACTGTGTGTGTTGTGTGCTCTGTATGCGTGTGCAGTGTGAGTGCTGAGTGTGTGCTGTGCTGAGGGTGTGCTGTGCACTCAGTGTGCATCAGCGTGTGTTGTGTATTCTGTATGTGTGTGCAGTGTGTGTGCTGAGTGTGTGCTGGTCTGTGTGCTGTGCACTCAGTGTGCACTGTATGTGTTGTGTGCTCTATGTGTGTGTGCTGAGTGTGTACTGTATGCCGTGTGCTGAGTGTGCTGTGAGCACTGTGTGTGCTGATGGGAGCCTGGCAAGAAGCATCTCTTTCTCCACAGGGGTTGCTGGACTCTGGTGTCCAGAGGGGACAGCCTGCCTCACAAGGAGCTCACACCCAGCTCCTCCTCCTCCATCAGAGGGAGAGTCGTGAGGAGCCGTGGGGCCAGGCTGAGGATGGAGCTCAGATTCCTCCTCAGACCCAATGGTAGGGAGCGAGGCCTCCCCCAACAGACTGGAGTCCTCCCCCCCAAAAAGGGGCCTGAGCCTCCCCCATCATACTAGCACTCTTTCTAGGTATATGAATGCGTCCTCTCCCATCAGACTGGGGACCCCCATAAAGAGGAAAGCTGTGTTACCCCCAAGAGACTGGACCTCACTGAGCGAGGGGGAGGCTCAGACGCCCCGTCAGACTAGGGGGTCACCTAGGAAACAGATTTCCCACCCCACCAACATCAACTTGGGAAGCCCCAGGGGGAGAAGTCCCCAGGGGAGGAGGCTGAGCCTGTCCCCTAAGACCTTCCCCCTCTGAACGCCTTATCCCCACGTACGCATGTCAAACAGGTCCTTCTTGGGGCTGTCCTCGGGCTGTGGAGGCTCTGAGGCGTCCAGCCCCTGCGTGTTGACATACAGGTGGTCCTCATAGTCTCGGGGCCCCTGGGCATCTGCCTGCACGTAGCCATCTCCTGGCGGAGCTGGGGAGGAGAGAGGGGGTGGTGAGGGCAGCTTGCGGAGCCAGGGGAACACTGAGGCCCTAGGGTGCAGAGGGGGGCAGGACGGGACCCAACCTGGGAGCCCCCACAACACACCCATCTCACTCCAAGAAGGAAGCCTCATGCCCGTTTGAGCAGCACCCTCAAGAGCAAAAAAAAAAAAAAAAAAAAAAAAAAAAAAAAAAAAAAAAAAAAAAAAAAAAAAAAAAACCCAAAGACACCCAATCAGGGGTGGTGGGGCACCAGAGGTCCATGCTCCGGTGGAACAGCCAGAGGGAACAGCCACCCACCCAGCCTGCCCCCACCTGCCAGGCAGGAAAGGGGCCCAGGGGGCCAGAGCTTTCGTTTCAAAAGAAGCCAGAAATCTCAGTGAAAAAAAGAAAAAGAAACGGATGCTGTCAAATCTCACAAGAGCTTGTGGAGTGAATACAGTCTCGCAAGTGAAAGTGAAGTGATGCAGAGAGGAGAGTCTGTGAAGGGGCATCCGGTGGGGGAGGGGCTGGGCCACTCCTAAGGCCGAAGGGCATCCATCCTACCTGAGGGGCCTGGCTCCCAGTGCAGACCGTGGGTGTCCCTTCGAGGAGGAGATGCTCCCTGAAAAAGAAAGCGAGGGTTTCTCCTGCAATATGCAAGCCCCTCTTCCAGGATTCCCGCCTAACCTGCCTAAAGCACTGGGGACGTGAGTCAGAGGGGACGCTCAGCTCACACCCTCTAACCTTCCCCCAAGCCCTGGAGCCCCAACTGCCGGGTGCCCACCAGGCCCAGCTTTGCACCCACTGCCCACCTCTGCTACAGCTTCCTAAGGCCGTCTCCACTCCGGAAGGTGGGCTGCATGCCACCCAGCACGTGCTCCTCTCTCCTTCCGTGCACTGCTCTCCTGGGCGACTCCTATGCACCCGTCAGAGCCCCGCCCAAACACTGCCTCCTCAGGAAAGTGCCTGACCACAGACAAGTCAGTCTCCCTTTTGTACATTCCTGTTGCCTTCTCTGTAAGCCCTCTGCACAGCCCTGATTGAATCACTGATACAATCATTTGCTCCATGTCTGAGTGTATACATCTGAAGGGTCTAGAACAGGACGGAGCAGATTTGTGGAGTTTGGGGAAGGAGGGAAGGGTAGGGGGCCTGAGAGACCCTCCTCTAGGATCGAGAACAGGAGCAGCCGAAACCGGTTTGGCTCAGTGGATAGAGCATCGGCCTGCGGACTGAAAGGTCCCAGGTTCGACTCCGGTCAAAGGGCATGTACCTTGGTTGCAAGCACATCCCGGGGGAGGGGGGGGGGGGTGCAAGAGGCAGCTGATCGATGTTTCTCTCTCATCGATGTTTCTAACTCTCTATTCCCCTCTTTCTCTCTGTAAAAAATCAATAAAATATATTTTTAAAAAGAAAGAAAGAAAGAAAGAAAGAAAGAAAGAAAGAAAGAAAGAAAGAAAGAGAGAGAGAGAGAGAGAGAGAGGGAGGGAGGGAGGGAGGGAGGGAGGGAGGGAGGGAGGGAGGGAGGGAGGGAGGGAGGGAGGGAGGGAGGGAGGGAGAAAGAAAGAACAGGAACAGAAGGAAAAGCTAGGGACAAAACCCAAAGAGTCAGTACATGGGGACAGCTGCCACCATCCCTCCCCCACAGGCGCTGACCTGGCTGAGAGCTCCCAGGGCCCCGAGGGCACAGGGCTGTGTCAGGGTGAGCCTGGAGTCCACCAGCCCACCCAGGGGCGGCTCCTTCCCTGGGATGCTGTTGTAGTAATTGTGTTCCATGTCCTCCTCGTCCCCCCAGGCCGACTCCTCCATCCCGGTCAGCCTGGAGACAGACAGCAAACAGGCGCATAGGCAGGGGCCCCGGTGCACAGGGCACAAGGAACGGGGACGCCAAGGTGCCAAGGCCTTCGGGCTTGGGCTCTGAAGGGTGGGTGGGAAAAGCCAGGCCCAAGGGGACTCCAATCACACCGCCCATCCACTGAGCTTTTGCCCAGGAAACGCTTGCTGGGTGCTATCTCTTCCCTCTTTCGTACAATGGGACACGGCTCAGCTACAGCAGGTCCTCAGCAAAGGTGGTCTTCCTGTCCGCTTCTGGCCTGGCCAGGCAGCCAGGGCACATCAGACTTGCACCCAGAACCGGGATGCCTGCTGTGAGTTATGGCAAGACACCCTCGGCATTTAAAACGCCCTCACCGCCCTAACCGGTTTGGCTCAGTGGATAGAGCGTCGACCTGAGGACCAAGGTATCCAAGGTTCGATTCCGGTCAAGGGCATGTACCTTGGTTGCAGGCACATCCCCAGTAGGGGGCATGCAGGAGGCAGCTGATCCAGTGTTTCTCTCTCATTGGTGTTTCTAACTCTCCCTCTCCCTTCCTCTCTGTAAAAAAAATCAATAAAAAATATTTAAAAATAAAAAAATAAAACACCCTCACCATCTGGCCCTGTGGTGACCCCTGTAGAAATGTATCCCACCAGTGCTCGTTCAAGTAAGCATGGTTCCTAAGAGCAGAATGGGGGCGACCACTGTCTGCCCTCAACCAGGCACCAAGAGCAGGTTCCAGCTCGGGCAGCAGAGCAGGACTGTGCGGCCTGTGGAGGCAGAAGCAGCTCCAGGTGCCCAGCAATAGCAGGTGTGACACCAGGCACGTGGGACAGATGTGCAAACCCATAAGAGAGGCGAAGAGCCATCGCATCCCGGGGAAGGCCTTGTTGCACTGCGAATTCCTCTTCCTTAGTGTATGCCGGTGGTTGGCAAACTCATTCGTCAACAGAGCCAAATACCAACAGTACAACGATTGACATTTCTTTGGAGAGTCAATTTTTTTTAAACGTAGACTTCTTCTAACTCCACTTCTTCAAAACAGACTCGCCCAGGCCGTGGTATTTTGTGGAAGAGCCACACTCAAGAGGCCAAACAGCCGCATGTGGCTCGCGAGCCGCGGTGTGCCGACCACTGGCATACGCTGTATGCTTATTTGAATTTCCAACAATTAATAGGTACTTAAGTAGCTGAGAACAGGGGGTCAGCCCAGGAGCCATAAAACATTTAAATGGTTAAAAAAAACATGTGGCCGGAACTGGTTTGGCTCAGTGGATAGAGCGTCGGCCTATGGACTGAAAGGTCCCAGGTTCGATTCCGGTCAAGGGCATGTACCTTGGTTGCAGGCACATCCCTTGTAGGGGGTGTGCAGGAGGCAGCTGATGGATGTTTCTCTCTCATCGATGTTTCTAACTCTCCAACTCTCTCCCTTCCTCTCTGTAAAAAATCAATAAAATATATTTAAAAAAAAAAAAAGAAAAAAAAAGAAAGAAAGAAAGAAAGAAAGAAAGAAAGAAAGAAAGAAAGAAAGAAAAGAAAACATCCGAAGAACAATACTTGGTGGCGTGGTGAAAGTTCACGAAATTCAGATCTTGGTGTTTGTAAATACAGTTTTGCTGGCACGCAGCCCATCCATTGCTTTATTCCCCTCCACAGCTGCTTCCACAGACAACAGCCAAGGCGCTGACAGTATTGACTGTCTGGGCCTCTGCAGAAGCGTTGACCGCCCCTGTCTGCACTAATGACAACAAAGACGGCGGCACTGACTGGCTCCCGAACCCTCACTTCAGCCCGGGGAGCCGGGGCGCCTTTATCTGGGTTTTACCGCCGAGGGAAGGGGGATCCGGTGATGAGCTTGCAGGGAGCACAGGGGGGTGGTGGTGGGACAGAGCAGACCCGACCCCAGGAGGAGCAGGCGGGGGCTGGTACCTTTCAGGGGGGACGACCACCTTGGGGGGGCTGTGCAGGTACTGTTTGAAGCGCAGCTCGAAGGCTTGGCCCACAGTGCTGATGACGCTCTGGGCGAGGCCCTCGCAGCACTCCAGGATGTGGCAGGCTGGGGGGGGTCGTTTGTGACAGCATCAGTGTGGCCTGGCAGCTGACTCGGTCTACCCCGGGCCCTCCCCCCACCACCACACCCATGGGCCCTCACCTCTCTGGTTGATGGGGTCCTTGGCGACATAGGCCACGTAATCTGTCATGTCCTGAGGAGAAAGGGCATGGGTGAGGGGGGCCAGCTGGACCTGCCTGGGCCCACTGACCAGGATTCCTGGCTGCCCACCTCCAGCAATGCAGGGGACAGAGGACGCCAAGTCCACCCGCCTGGCCCCTTACCGTGTCGCCACCCGACGCGAAGGAGATGGACTGCATGTGGTGGTTGGCGATGATCTGCCAGAGAGACGCATGTGGTCACGGGCTGTCCTGAGGCCAGGGACCTGAGGCTCGGGCAGGCACTAGACCAGGGCTACAGGAAGGGGACTGGGAGGGCAGGGACACCCAGGCACATCCAGACACACAGACACACACGGGTACACACTCGGTGCCTGGGGCACCCTCAGTGGTGACCACCGTGGGGCTCTGTGAGGGCGGCTGCTGCATCCCTCCTCACCTCCAGGTGAACATGTCACAGGAGCCCTGCACCAACCATCCCTCCGGCCTTCACCTCATGTGAGTCCCCAGCGCCTGCCCTTCTGGGGCTGAGGACAGGCCACATGGCCCTCACCTGGCGAGTGGCAGGCACGGAGAGGTTGAGGCCATCGGTAGAGATGCTGATGGCAATGCTCATGCCGGCGAAGCGCAGGTTGCTCTTGCCCAGGATGGAGGCCAGCGCCTTGTTGGGGGCCTGAGGAGGCAAAGGGCCACAGGGTGGGGGACCTGAGGGAGTAGAGGGCCGTGGGGGGGGGGGGGTTTGGAGGAGCAACACAGGGTCACAGAGTGGGGAGGCCTGGCCGGGAGCAGCGGGCAGGACAGGGCTGCAGGGTGGGAGGCCCCGGCTCTCAGTGGGGGCTGCAGAGGGGATCTAGCTGGGCAGGGTCCGGGCGTGGCCTTGATGTTGCCTCCAGCCCCACTCAGAGACCACAAGCCCCTCACCAACCTTCTTCTTCCAGGAGCCGCGAACTCCGGGCACAGCCTCATGGAGTCGGTTGATGGCCTCCCTGTGGGGAGACGGGAAGGGAGCTTAGAGATCTTTGGGGAGAGGGATCTGGGGAGGGGCAGGAGCTCAGAGAAGGGTAGGGGTCAGAGGGCAATGGGCTGAAAAAAGAGGTGCAGTGGACCCTGAGATGAGGAGGGACTCATAGGAGGGTGGGGATGAGAGAGGCAGGGGTGCTAGGGTATCTGGGGAGAAGAGGAAGGGCCAGAGGCATGGGGTGGGTTCCCAGATACCCCCCTCAGCTGCTTCTCTCTGCGGGTATCAGATTCAACACAACCCTGGAACTTAGACCCCAACTTCTGTGTGGCCACAGGCATTGAGGGGATGACCTCCGATAGGAGCGGAGCCAATGAAACCAGCTTCCTGGACCCCTAACACCATCCCACTTCGTCTGGAAGGCTCACCTGGTGACCTGGGTGCGAGTGTTGAAGTCCAGGGATCGCATGGAGCGTAGCACCTCGATGCAGCCCATGTACTAAGGGAAGAAAGAACGGGGTGAACTGGTGGACCCCACAGGGCCAGCGGAGGAGCCCAGCTGGGGCTGAGAGATGAACTCTCCACCTCCCCGCACCTGCTGGATTCCAGTCCTTCCTTCTGTCCTTGACAATGTCCAGCCTCAGGGTCTTAGCACCTGCTGTTCCTTCCCATCTATTTTCATACTGATTCCTCCCAACCTCCAGACTCAGCGTCACCTCCTCAAAGCCGGCTCCCTGGCTCTGCATAATTTGTCCCACAGAACCTGGTTGATTCCTCCAAGCTCATTAAACTATCTGTTCAGCCCTAGCTGGTTTGGCTCAATGGATAGAGCATCAGCCTCCAAACTGAAAGGTCCCGTGCTCAATTGCAGTCAAGGGCACATGCTTGGGTTTCAGGCTCAATCCCCAGTAGAGGGCATACAAGAGGCGACCAATCAGTAATTCTCTCATTGTAGTTTCTACCTCTTTCCCTCTCTTCCTTCCTCTCTGAAACCAACGAAAATATCTATAATAATAAAAGGGCAATATTCTGCCGGGACCGGTTTGGCTCAATGGATAGAGCATCGGCTTGGGGACTGAAGGGTCCCGGGTTCGATTCCGGTCAAGGGCATGTACCTTGGTTGCGGGCAAATCCCCAGAAGGGGGTGTGCAAGAGGCAGCTGATCGATGACTATCTCTCATCAATGTTTCTAACTCTGTATCTCTCTCCTATCTCTCTCCCTTCCTCTCTGTAAAAAATCAATAAAATATATTTAAAAAAAAAAAATAAAAGGGCAATATTCTAATTAGACTGGATGTCATTCCAGATGTCCATCGGGAGGAAGCCAGGACTGGAGAGAAGCCGGGGTCCCAGGTGCCTGCTGGCAGCTGGAGGGAAGCCCTGTGGGTGCCAGTTGGAAGCTGGTGCCAACAGCGGGGGAAGGAAGGCCTACTCTTGCATGAATTTCATGCATTGGGCCTCTAGTATTTAAAATAAGTAAATAAATAAACTATCTGTTCAATCTCTTTTTCTGTTCCACTAGAACGCAAGCCCAGAAGGACCAGGATGGTGGTCATCTTGCCCACTTTGCGCCCCAGAGCCCATCCCAGGGCCTGCAAGCAGACAGGATGGAGACCGTCTGGCCCATGAAGCACAAAGCACTGACTATCTGTGATCCATTACAGAAAAGCGTGATCCTGCCCAGGTCACCATTCCATGGAAAGGTAATTCAGGATCTCCGAGAGAAAATGCTGAGGGACAGAGGAGGTGGAAACGACCAGCAGAGTTCCCAGGCAGCTTCTCCTGCTGCCAAGGGTGGGGGCATGAGCAACAGAAGATGGCCATAACCATCCCCCCAAATTCTAGGCTGCTGGAGGGTAACTGGTACAATTGGAGAGTGTACAAGTGGCAGCATCACAAGATCCCATTGGCATGAAATGTCCAGAAAAGGCAAATCCGCAAAGACAGAGAATGGGTCTGTGGTTGCCAGGAGCTGGAAGGGGTGAATGATAGGGGTGACTGTTCATGGAGACAGGGCTTCCTATTGGGGTGATGGAATGTTCTGGAACTAGATAGTAGTGATGGTTGCATAACCCTGTGAATATACCAAATGCCCCAGAATTGTACACTTTAGGATGATTAATGATTACATTTGTTATGTGAATTTTACCTCAATTTTTAAGGTAAACTATGGTGATAGAAGCTGAGATAATGGGAGTGCTGTGAGTGGTGCCAGCGAGGAGAGCACCAGGCAGCTGCCCAGCTCAGTGTGGGCACCATGCACCTGAGACTAGCTTACACACTGTACTATATGTATGTTGTCCCTCAATTTTAAAGTCTACCAAGGAAAAAAGTGCATCCCCAGAGATACTTATTAATTACTAGTGGCCTGCTGCATGGGTTCCTGTACAATGAAAGGAAATTAATTGAAAGAAAGATTCCTGCGGGAATTAGATTACTGCAAAAAATTACATGTCTAGCCCTAGCTGATTTGACTCAGTGGATAGAGTGTCAGCCTGTGGACTGAATGGTCCCAGGTTCGATTCCAGTCAAGAGCACATGCCTGGATTGCAGGCTTGATCCCCAGCAGGGAGTGTGCAGGAGGCAGCTGATCAATGATTCTCTCTTATCATTGATGTTTCTATCTCTCTCTCCCTCTTCCTTTGAAGTCAATAAAAATATATTTAAAAAAAAAAAAGAACTGGCTTATAAAAAAAATTATATGCTGCTGAAACCAGTTTGGCTCAGTGGATAGAGCATCAGCCTGCGGACTGAAAGGTCCCAGGTTCGATTCCAGTCAAGGGCATGTATCTTGGTTACAGGCACATCCCCAGTAGGAGGTGTGCAGGAGGCAGCTGATCGATGTTTCTCATGGATGTTTCTAGCTCTCTATCCCTCTCCCTTCCTCTCTGTAAAAAATCAATAAAAATATATTTTTTTTTAAATTACATGCCAAAATAGTATATATAATATAGTATTATAAAATTAAAATGCGAACTATTTTAATATCACTATTCATCCTTTATAATAGAAATGTCTGAGATGAAAGAAAAATAGTAAAATATATATATAAATAGTATATAAATTAATTAATAAATAAACAGTATTCTGTCGACAATGATGATGCTTTCTTTCAGCTTCAGAGGTATGTTGTGCCAATAGTGGGTTTTCAGATACATTCTGGTGTCGCCTGCGATTGGTGCCAGTGAGAGCTTTATATGTATCATGCATGCCAAGTCAACATTTATTTTTAAATTGCCAGTGCAGGTCGTATATACCAGTTGGTCTGATGGACAGACGGTAGGTCACTTAGCCTTTTATATATACAGATGGATAAGAGAGAAAGGTCACCTTAGCCAGTGTGTTCGTTTCCTGGGACCACATAACAAAGCACCACAAACTGGCCAGCTTAAAACAACAGGGATGTATTCGCTTTCATTCTGGAAGCCAGGCGTCCAAAGTCGAGGCCTTGAGCAGGCTGAGCTCCAGCTGAAGAATCCAGGGAGGGCCATTCCTTGATGGTGGCCAGCTTCCCATGATGGTGGCCAGCAGTCCTTGATTTGCAGACACATCAGCCCAGTGGTTGCCTCCATCTTCCCATGGCCTTCTCCCTGCATAGCTACGTCCAAGTTCCCCTCTTCTTATAAGGACGCCAGTCATGTGAGATTTAGGGTCCCTAATATCGTATGCCTCCATCTCAACCTGATATCATATGCAAAGACTCTATTTCCAAATCAATTCACATTCTGAGGTTCTAGTAGACATGAACTTTTTGGGGACACCATTCTCCCCAGGACACTAAGTGATCACAGTTTCCAGTGTGAGTGTTGAGCCACAAGGGCACCCCAGCCTCCCGATTCAAAACACAAAGGAGATACAGCATGCCCCTCTGCTTCCTGCCCCGGATGCACAGCCTGAGCAAACGCCAGTCTGAAGCCAAATGGTGTGCACTGGTCAAAAGCTGGGACGCCACTAGCGTTTCTCACGTTGACGTCAGGCCATATTCTTTTCGTGGTGTTGTCCAGATTTTCCTCTTCTCATCAAGACACCTGTCATTGCATTAGAGCCAGCCCACTCCAGGATGACCTCGTTTTAACCTGATTACATCTACAAAGACCCTATTTCTTTTTTTTTAATATATTTTATTGGTTTTACACAGAGAGGAATTGAGAAGGATAGAGAGTTAGAAATGTTGATGAGAGAGATACATGGACCAGCTGCCTCTTGCACACCCCCTACTGGGGATGTGCCCGCAACCAAGGCATGTGCCCTTGACCGGAATCGAACCAGGGACCTTTCAGTCCGCAGGCCAACGCAAAGACCCTATTTCTAAACAAGGCCACGTCCGCAGGTCCAATGGTCATGAATTTGGGAAGGACGCTATTCAACCTGTTCCGGAGAAGGAGGGGGACTTGGGTAAAGGCACCAAAGGTAAAACTGAATGCAAAGATCACTTTTCAAGGTGCTGGTACCAAAAAGCCAGCAGAGATGTGAATTCTGCCCAGTGGTCACTGACGCTCTGGGATACCTGAGAGATAGCGTTTGTACGTGTAAAGATGAACTGTGGGTGTGCAGGAGGCCAGGTGGAAGCATTGAACAGCGAGTGTCATGCACACTGGCACCGCACTGCCTAGTGGCTCACCAGGGACAGAGAAACTGCGCCTAGAAAACGGAACATTGTAACAGTCGCAGGAGCAGGCGCACAGGCGATCCATTCGTCCAACGTTTCCGTATGTTTGAAAGGTTCATAATAAAATAAAAACTGGGATAAAGACCCATTCCTCTGCCACACCACATTCTCAGTCCCCAGGCTCATGGGTCGAATCGCGCGGTCTGGACGGGCTCCGTCCCTTCCCTGCGCTCCCTACCTCAGGCCAAGGTCGCAGCGGGTTCCGATCCTGTTGTCTACGAAGGAGCTTTTCATGGGGGTCTGAGTAGCAGAATGCCCCCTTCTAGTCCTCTGGCTCCAGAATCTCCCGCCCGACCCGAATGGAGCGGAGGGATGGGAGGGAGAAATGTCCGATCTGCGCATGCGTGTCCCCCACCCACCTGCGGTCCTCCGCCCGCCTCTCCGCACGTGATGCCGTGGGAACCCCGACCCCAGCGCCTCCCGGCTGGGGGCGCCCGGCGGAGATCGGGCTGGCGATGGGGGCCTGGAGCGGTGGGGAGAGGAGGAAGGACGGAGAGGAGATGCCTGGCCCTCGGGTCCAGGGTGTCCGGGAGAAAGAAGTGGGGGAGGGGAGCCCCAGCCCCCGGGTGGAAGTGTCGGGAGGACGACATCCCCGCAGACCGGGCCGGCGCACTCACCCGCACGATGTAGGAGACCCCGGGGCCCAGGACCCTGGCGTCCGGGTGCAGCCAGCCGTGCGCCGGCTTGTGGATGAAGCTTCCTTTGCGGATCCACTCGTCGGCGGCGGCCGCGTCCGGGGCCCCAGCCGCCGTCCCCCGCGCGCCCCGCGCCCCCCGCGCCCCCGCGGCCCGGCAGCGGCTGAGTGTGGGCAGCGGGCAGGGCGCGGCGCAGCGCGGCTCGCAGGCGCCCAGCACCGCGGCCGCCAGCGCGGGGACCCCGGCCGGGCCGGCGGGCTCCGCCTGGGGATCCGCGCCCCCGGCCGCGCCCGCGCCCCCCGCCGCCCGCGCCGCCGCCGCCGGGCCGCGGCCCAGGAAGCCGGCCGGCGCGGCGAACTTCCACTGCGGCATGCGCGGCAGCAGCGCGCAGAAGGTGGTGGGCGCCTCGGGCTCCGGGGCCGCGGGGGGCGCCGGGGGCGCGCGCCCGCCGGGACCCTGCGTCATGGCCGCGGCCGCCGGACCCAGCCCGCCCGGGCGCTGAGCCTGCCGCGGAGGAGGCCCGCTCTCCGCCGCCCGCTCCCTCCCCGCCCCCGGCCCGGTGATGTCATCCGCCCGGCCCAGCGCGCAGCCGCCGGGGGCTGCGCCCCTGGGACCCCGGCCCTCGGCGCCGCGGCGCCCGGCGGGGGGCGGCTGGGTGGGGAAACTGAGGCCCGCCGCGTGCCAGGCGCTAACTTCAACCTGGCAGTCAGGGAGGGAGATGTTTCCAATCCAGGACCCACCCGGGCATGGATCCCCTCCTTTGCCCTCAACCCGTAGACCCAAGTTCCTAGAACAGAAGTGGGGGAGACTTAGAAATCACCTCCCTTGTTGACTGATGGGGAAACCGGGGCCCGGAGAGGAGCGAAGGCGCGGGGAGAGCAGAGAGCCCCGACCCCAAGGTCAGCCCCCTCCACTGTCACTGTTCCAGCTGGAAGGTGCTCGAACAGGGAACCCGAGGCCCAGAGAGGGAGGGGGTCTGCCTGAGGCCGTGCGGGGCTCGGGGGTGCCATGTCAGGTTGGGGTTTGCTGGGTCTGGAGAAGGGGGGAGGCTCAGAGCGGAGCTTAGCGTCCACGCTGCAGCCTCTCCCTGAGCCTGTTTCCCAGGCTGAGAGCCAGGAGCGCGCGCTGGAGGGTCACAGGCTCCCGCATTTCTGGGGAACCTTATGGGGCAACGACCCAGCTGAGCCCCCCACCCCGGGCTGCCGGCCTCTCTGGCCTCAGGCAATTCGACCCCACCCAGGCCTCCAGGGGGGTCACGGTCACCCCGGGGACCCGGCGTCTCCGCCGGCCTCTGCGGAGCCTCCTCCCCCTCCGGCCCCACCCCACAGGGCTGGCTGCTGGGAAACAAAAGGAGGGGGCCGCGCGTGCGGGCAGGTGAGGAAGGAGGGGCCTGGCCGCTGGGAGCGGGATCGATAAATCAGAGAGATGAGATCACAGCCCAGCAGCCTTGCTGGGGGGTGGCGGGCGGCCAGCGTGGCTGTGATTGGTCCATCACGGGGGGGGGGGGAAGGGGGGGAACTACGGGGAGGCGGGGATGCGGCCCGAGTGTCACACTGCAGTCGCCATGGTGAGTCCACGTCCGCGGGGTCTGGGGTGAATGCGTGCGGAGGGCGTGGCCTTCGGGTCTGTGTAGAGGGTAAGGCTTGCAGGGGTGGGAGCCCCTATCTGGACTTGTGTGTGCTGGGTGTCTCTATGTGGTTGACATGCCTATGGTCTGTGTGAAGGTCAGGCTGTGTGTATATTGTGTGCAGATGTGAACAGGAAGAGGGGTTCTGGGTCCTCCCCGGGTATATGGTTAGGGCGTCATGTGCATTTCCGTGCGGGTGCCCAGGGTCCTGGTGTGTGTCCATGTGCAGGTAGGGTTTTTGGGGTGTGTTCAAGGGGTGTGTGTTCAGCTTTGACACCCCCAGGCTGGGGAAGGGGACAGAGTTAGGAGAGAGCAGACACCCACCCTGGGTCCCCTCTAGGGTCTCCCTGTGGTGCTGTCGCTGGGACCATCGCCTTCAGGAAAATGCAATGGCAGTTTGTTCATCCCAAGTTCGAGTTAGGGTCTCTCTGGGCCGAAGTTTGTAAGGCCTAGGCTCAGGTGTCATCACACAAAGGGCTTGGTCACATGACATCATCCCTGGGAAAGAATGGCAGGAACAGAGCCCAATGGCCAGAATTCAAATCCTGGCATCAGACAAACACTAAGGCTTAGAGTGTGCCCCTGGACAAGTATCCAATCTCTGAGGCACCATTCCTTTAGTAAACATCACCTAACTCCTGAGTTACGGTGAAGCTTAAAGGGTCTTTATCAACATCTGGCACATTGTAGAATATATCAAACTCCTATTCATCCTTCAAAACCCAGCTACAATGTCCCCTCTTCCAAGAAGCCTACTGGCTCCTCACACACACACACACACACACACACACACACACACACTCCAAGCTCTGCCTCTACCTCTGGGCTTCCCCCAGCTCTGGATCCCTCCTCTGGTCCCATCCAGACTCCAAGGTGTTGCAGAGTTGGGGGTCTGGATGTTGACAGCAGTGTTTCAGATCTTCTGTGATGTAACTAGACCCTGGGTTAAATGAACGTGCGTGCGAGTGTGGGTGTGCGCTGCTGACAGCTCTTGATGCCACAGAGATTTATTGGCAAACAGCTACAGGGTGGGAGAGGGAGGGGAGGGCATTGGGGCTACTTCCAGCCTGATTTTGGGCTGGGATCAGGGCAGGAAGCTGTCTTCCATGAGTAACAGTTTAGATCCCAAGTTTGGCAGAAACCTGAGCTGTGTTGGGGACCCAGGTCCTAGCAGTGTGGACACCAAGTTCTAGGACACAGGAAGCTCCGTCTCCAGCCAGCCACTGGGGAGAGGAGCCAGGGGTGTCTCTTTCTCTGCCTGGCCTTGCTTGGCCTGGCATGGCCAGGAGAGAAGAAACTGGGGCGCTGGAAGGAGGCTCACCCTGCACAGGGCCATGGGGTCACGGGCCCCAGGGACTGGAGGACGCAGGTGGCCTAGAAGGACCTCAGACAGTTCAGAAAAGTGGAAGGAAGGAAGGAAGGAGGTTCCTCCCCCTCCCCCAGCTTCTCTAAGCCACCTCACCCCAGCCAAAGCCAGGCCCAGGCAGGGCTGGCCCACGCCCCACTTCAGGACGTAGGAAATCTGAGTCTCAGCCCAGGGGCCGCCCTGCATTCTGTCCCCCAGAGGCGGAAGGGTGCCGGTGTATTCGGGGTCATGTTGGTGGCCCGTTTGGAGTGCCGGATGCCCATGGTGAAGGCCGGGGCTCTGGCTTTGGTCACAGTGACCCGCTCGGGGCTGTGGGTGCCAGGGCCAGGAGTCTCATCCAGGGGACCTGGGGCCCGGGGCCGCCCCAGCATGGTGAAGGAAGGCGGGCGCTGGCGGTAGGCATTGGGGTCTGAGCTCTCATACTGGCCTGGGCCTGGTATCTCGGTGGGGTCCTGTGGGGGGCGGGCAGGGGGGGTGCGGCCCACCACTGTGTAGCTGGGGCTACTGGGCTTGATGAAGATCTGGGCGCCCCAGAGGGATGGCAGGGTGTAGGCATTGGGGGCGGGGGCCGAGGAGTCCATGGGCGGTGGACGCAGGCGGGAGCCCAGGGTGAAAGCCGGGGGGGTGCGCTGGCGCGTGGGGGCCACCTTCTCCGGGCTGTAGGCCCCAGGGCCAGGCGTCACCTCCAGACCTGTGGGAACGGAGCAGGAGGGTTGGCAATGGACAGAGTGCTCCCCTCAGCAAAGACCTTGCACAGCTCCCCGTTGCCCACGTGATCCCCGAGCCCATGGCACTTCTGAAGAAGCCCCGGTGACTTCTCCTTCCTCCCGGCCCGGCCACACAGTGTGTTCTCTTTCAAGCCTCCAGGCCTTTGCCCAAGATCGACCCTCTGCCGGGCAAGCCTTCTGTGTCCAGTCCCTCCTCCCAGGAGCTGCTCCTCATCCTTTCAGAGCCCCGAAGTCCCTCCCCCCGGCTGCCTTTGCCACAGCCCTTCTAGGGGTCCCGTGGCCTCATTCTTCCCCCCAGACATGGCCACACGGAAGGGATGGTCCCCACAGAAGTCTAACGCCACCATGCTGAGATCTCATAAAAAAGCAGGACCTGCCGAAGCCGGTTTGGCTCAGTGGTAGAGCATCGGTCTGCGAACTGAAAGGTCCCAGGTTCGATTCCGGTCAAGGGCATGTATGTTGGTTGCGGGCACATCCCCAGTAGGGGGTGTGCAGGAGGCAGCTGGTCGATGTTTCTCTCTCATCGATGTTTCTAGCTCTCTATCTCTCTCCCTTCCTCTCTGTAAAAAATCAATAAAATATATTTTTTTTAAAAAATTAAAAAAAAAAGCAAGGACCTGTCAAATCTATTTCGACTCCCAGCAGTTGGCCTAGTATATGTTTGGGAGGATGAGTTAGTAAAGGGTGGTGAGTGGCTGGGTGAGTAGATGAATGGATTCGTGGGTATACAGATAGATGGATTGATAGATAGATCCTGGATGGATGGATCAGTAAATAGGTAAATAGATCAATAGATGGATTAGACATGGACAGGTGAGAATGGGTGGGTAGGTTGATGAGTAGATAGCTGGGCAGACGATAAATGGATCTGAGTGAAGGAGTAGATGGGTGATGAGTGCAAAGATGAAATGGTTGATAGATAGGAGACTGGAGTCGGGTGATTAACACTTTAGGTGACAGGAAGCTGTTTGCAGCCTGTGGAGGGGATTTCCACATTTGCCACAGTCCCCACTGCACCCCGTTGTCTCCTGATGCTGAGGGTGAGCCCCAGAGGCCCAGGTCACCATCACCTTGGCCCACTTCACTCATTCAGCCCCTCTTCTGAAGTCTTCCATTTCATCATTGCAAAGACACTGAAGTTCTAAGAGCTTGGGGATAGGAGGGGAAGAAGACAGAGGCAGGACAGTCACTGAGACCCTGAAGGGACAGGGTCCTCTTGGGGTAGCACAGGCCAGATACTCACCCCGAGATTTGCCCCTGCCCTGCATGGAGTAGGCAGGAGCGCAGATTCGGCCAAACCGGGTGACTTTGGGGTCCAGGAAGTAGACTGGCCCAGGGCTGGAGTCCTGTGGAGATACTGGAGGGAGGAGTCCAGGGTTCTGGATACATCCTGATGGCCCCACCACCCCACTCAGTGCCCCTGGTTACCTTACCCTGAGGCCCTTCCACCCTCCGGACACCCACTGCCCCATCTTGGATAGCAGAGACCTCAGCCTCCTGAGGTCTGATTGCCCTGACTGGGGACCTGGATCTCAGCTTGACTTTGTCTTGAGCACTCACTCCTGTGCCTTCCTGATCAATGCTGTCCACCCCTCCTCCTCTCCTCTGCCCTGAGCTAGGGGAGCAGTTCTAGAGAAACCAGCTCATGGGCTGGTTAGAAGTGTACCTAAAGTGAGAGTAACTAGGCTCTCACTAAGGTTCCGAGGTGGGCAGTCCTTTTAAGGCCAGGGCTTGTTGGCATGTG